TAAAATATGATGTTTTTATGTCACATAAAATAAGCAATATATTCTCTTAATATTCCTTTAAAATACCAGATATATGATGTTTTATGTCCTTAAATATGGAAAATATTCTTTTGATATTAAAAAAGAAATTCAGTTTAAATATATTTTTTTATGAATTTGGTTTTAAATGTATTTAATTAAATTAATTTTACAATAACAATATAGGTAATAACTATATATTGTTCGATGTATAGTCGCGACACCTAACGAAATAACCGATGTGCTTTCGTAATCGATAAGGAATACCTGGAGATTAATTTTTATTATAACTCAGAAATAAATCATTTAGTGAACATTGGATTTATCAGAGTGCTAATATACGTGAAATATATTCATTATATGCGATATCCCGGCTATTAAAAAAATATTCTCAAATATTCTCTAACCTCTAAATATGCTTTTTCATACAAAATAAATTTTTTCCTGCGAATTCTGTGTTTCATGATTCGTAAAAATTTCTCACTTCCATTTAACTGCATAGACTAGAAACAAATATGTAAAATCATAAAAATCCGACCTCTAGTTATTGAGTATCACTGTAATGACCATTATATATACCATATTATGCATGGTGTTAAATTTCATACAATTAACAAAATTCCAGAAGGACAATGCCTCCTTTAGCCACCCTTCCCTCATTCTACAGGTGCCCTTGAAACAATAAGTCGACAACACCATCTCTGTTCAGAAATTCAGAATCGTTTCTTATGATATCGGTATGCAATGAACATAAGCTTGCTTATAGAAAGTAGATACATCAAAATGTTTTCAGAGCACTTGCATATAGGTATTATACTTTTTAATAAATGGTTAATTTCTAAAATAATAATAATATTAAAATATTGAAGATTTCAATGATTTTTCATTGATTTCAAATTTAGCACACCTATTACAGTGACCTAATATATATAACGAGGTACACTAGCTACTAGCCACTATACATACCTATATGATATATCAGAATGACTTCCCGGGTTTTATTCATTTATGTTAATCTATTTTAAATAATGTGTCTATCATCACTTTTTGGAGCAGACAATTTACTCTAACCGTAAGGATAACTTAGTATACCGTTGAAGAAAACTTGAAAATGTAATATAATGTTTTTCATAATATGTTCCTACACAAGTTAAAAAATATTGATAATCATTTCGAATAATTCTTTATAAATGTTTAAAGTTTAAATTTCGGCAGTTTGGATATTTACGAACCGTAACAATATTTCCTTCACAAGACTTAAGTTGTAATTCAATAAATATTATTAACATAGAAAACTGAAACCTTTCGTTATTAAATAATAAATGTACCTTTTTTTTTTCAAAGTGCAGTTTTAAAATATGTTCACAAGTTGCAAAAAAAATTTATTAATTTTATTGACTATTAACCAATCATGATTCATGGACCACAATCGTGTTTTAGGGACCAACAGCTCACTATTAACTATTGTACATGATGTTTAGTGATTGTTTACCCAACCCAACAGCGGACTAACTTTTGATATTTATAAAGCAAGAACCAATCCATTCTATTCTCCAAGTACGCTGTAAACATCTTATTCACCTATAGGTAGCTATGGGCGTAACTAAGATTTAACACCTAGTTAAAGAACCAAAGTTTAAAGTACCCTGAGCACCGAGGTGCAAGATAAGATAGCCATAGAGTAAAAGCTTCCTTCGTCATTAAACATTTTAACTCAAAATTAAAATATAAACAATAAAATAAACATAATATGAGATATACATTTTATAATTGCATAGTATATACGTATATTGCCCATATTTAGATGCTAATGTTTATAAAATATCATCATCGATATTATCTTATCAGTTAGGTAATATTTTCTTTCTATATTTATTAACTACCTACCTATAGTCAGGTCACTCAGATGTCTAGATGTGTTTTAGGTCATTGTCGACCTGATATAATATTATTATTTTTTAATTCAACTCATACATATACTTGTACATGAAACATCAACAATATTAGTATACCTATATTATATAGTTATGTAGGTAAACTAACAGTATTATTACCAGGCGTTGCCGTGGGGTAAATGAAATCGAGATGGGCAATCCATCTGCACAGAAGAACTAGGTATCTATTATAATATAAAGATATATAATTATTAAATACTTTACAAATTAAACCCATAACAGTTTTTTGTGCGGAATAATCTGGATTTTAACTAGGACTCAATAGGGGCTTTACAAAGTAAAAACAAAAAAAAATTCGGTGCTGAGCCCTCTTCCCTCGGGATTCGGAAAAAAAGTACACTGAAAAAAAGTCCGATTTAATTTTTTTCGGAAAATATGTCCGACCAGAAAATTCTTTCCCCTTAGTTACGTCGATGATAATATGATAATAGCCTAGGTATTTCGTATTTGTACAGCTAGGTAGCTAAATTATTTTTTGTTTTTTGTACATCCAATCAAAATAAAATTGGCGTATTTTAATGGTTCCTATATTTTATAGTTTTATAGGTTATTTAAAGTGGTTATTATGACGCTGTGATTATTGTGACGATAAGTACTACAGTATATATGGATATTATAATAATGATGTAATCATCGAAGACAATAATGCATAATTGATGAGCCGATACTACATAACAGTGATTCGTCTAATTGAGTCGTGTCATTTGATAAAGGGAATTAGGTACCAACTAGTTTTTTTAACTTTAGGATTAAAATGTGTCGAAAGCGCTTATGAATCCGTTTCTGTCAGTGTCTACCGAGTGTCGCATATTATAATTTTTGTAACAAGTTTTATGTAATCGTTTATATATTATTTAAATATTTAATTGTATGTACAATGTACTGTAGCCTTGGCCCTAGCTGTGGTAATTCCAGTGTTAGCCGTTGGGATTCACATGCGAATTACCTAGATAAAAATACTATACCTATGGCTTAATTAATTATCTTCCATCTTATCAAGAGTCAAGACTAAATTTTCATGAACATTTTTAAAAACTATGAAAATTTATTTTAATATAGATTTTGTAATTATTTATTTTTTTAGTTATAATAGACTATTTGTTAATTAAGCACACGACACTTACCAACAATTTAGTATTCCAACAATATTGTCTGTATGTATTATTAATATCGTTATTATAATAATCATCACAGTTTTTGTTATTATTACTAAGTACGTAAATACGTAATACTACGATTTTTCTATGTTATTATTATACATACGCCGAAGTTTGAAACTTGACTACGGCCTACATCTAACTCTACCGGTATTCATGTTCTTAACTTTTGCACAAATAAAGAGAAAAAAATTGAAAAATTAATATAGGATAGGAAACTTGAAAAATGTCAGTGTTGAAAATTTTTAATATTGCTGAAAATGTCAATGAAGAAAAAACCGTTCATATGAAAATTTTCAAGCTTACAGCTTTACTCAGACCTATAAACTATTAAGATACATTATAGATAGACACTAAAAATTAATTTTGTGCCAAGAATTATTTAAGATAGTACTATCTTAAATTCTTAAATCATGACACGTATCAATATAGTTTTAAGAAAATCTATTTTGAAAATTGAACGGAGATGAAGAAGAAAAGTGTTGAAAAGGTTCATCGGGTATTTAATTTAGTACTTACCTGTTTAATGTTTTTCATCAGTAACTATATAATAATAAATAAATCAACGTGATTTCTATGGGCAGCAATCGCATAAAAAGTACTTACAATGAAGACAAATCGACGAAGTCGCTTTGCTATAATTCTGCTGTAGGTAGTAAATAAAGTGACGATTGTATCGGTTGATGTCGTTATCGAGTTGGTCACTGGCTATTGTATGTTTGTATAATGGATTCATGTATTAAATTTGAATTCTATGACAATTTTAAATTCATTGCAAAAAAATGTCATGTCCCTAAGCTTACTATTAATTTAATTACGATTTACACAAAATAATTAAAACCGTAAGAAAGAAGTGGTTAGAAGAAAGAACCCCTCACTTAACTTGATCTTGTCTACTAAGCACTTTTCGTTACACTTTTCATAATTGTGTTCATTGTAATTTTCTAAAATTACATCACTAAGGGATAATTTAAAAAATTCCTACACAGTCACGAGTTTTTACAATAGATCCACCATTAAACTCCGTATTTCAACATTTTATGAATTCAAAACAACCTTCTTTTTATAAACATTGTTTTTTATTTTTCACTTATTATTTTCCATTATACTCTCCTTGTTCACTCGTTCGTAATTTCGCGTTCAAGGAGTATTGTAAACGTAAAGTATTATAATATATAAAGCAGCCGGGGCTCATCGCTGGCCCTTTAAATTTAAAAGGTATTTTCATTTTTGTCTCGATTAATATTATCGGTCAGCGGGAGATTTTCATTTTCAGTTCGTTTATATTTTGATTAGTATAGCAACAATACGTTATTTTACGCGGTATAGGTATAGGTACAGAGTAATATTATACAATGGGCGTGAAACGCAAAAACGCGTCTTTACGTCGACTGTCGGTCTCGCCAGTCGCTACACCGCGGGAGAACGGTTGGTATGTTATTACTATACATTGTTGTCGGTGTCGGTTGTGTGTATATAATGTGATATGTATATACATATGATTGGGTTAGGTTATATACATATATGCTTACACTGTGCAGGTACTGAGGTTTCCGATCGGTTTGGTTGAAAAAATATTGTTATATAATATTATATTCTCGGCGCTCACCTGTCGCCGTTGCCCCGAGATGGCGGTACTTGACGTTTGGTATGGCGCGCAAGAAGCAGCGATACGACCCGACTCTCTCGCCCACCCGTAAACATTCGTGGACGGGAACATCTCTCGACCAGTCGTGGGACCGGTTGATCGTCGCAGGCCACAGTCCGCACTCCGCGTTCATACTTCATTGTGCCGGCACATCATTACGTTCTCCGTTGCCGGTAGACACTGCACGAGGACGCACGTTGCATCGCAGTCGTCCGCGCGACTATGTCGCCAAAAATAATCGCCGCCGTCCTGTTCACTCTCTTGTCCGTCCTCCCGTCACGGGTGAGTATCGCGAAGCGCGTCCATCGTTGATGTTAGTCAACACATCGGTTAAGATGATAAGTTTTTTAAATCTCCAACTTTTTAAATCGGAAAATTGGTCTGCGGGCTGTGCAGAAGGAGGTAGGTAGGTAGCTGACCCGTGTTATACATTATTTTCATATTATAGCCATGCGAGTAGTAGATCTTCCGCGGTGTTTTCTCTCATCGCACCTCCCTCATGCTGCGCTCGATTAGCTGCAAGTAGGTATATTTTGTTGTACGGCTGATTTTCGATTTAATGAATATGACGTGACCCTCTAACGTAAAAAATAATAATACAATATTATTCGTTTTTCTATTTTACCACCTATGTATTATAGCCATGTATGCATTACAATAAGTACCTACCTACAAAGTACAAATACAAATATACACACAATATGTGGTAATGTTAACTACGTACATACCTACTCATAGTGAGTACTATGTTATAGTTGGTTTATCTCAAGAGTTTGTGATCGTGCAGCCGTTACATGCAAAATATTTTTCATTACGAGAATCCGGATTTAGATAAGTCGATCAAAATATTTATAATAATAATATTTTCTCGTGCTTATTAATTCTAAATTCTCTTGTTCTGTAAAAAGCCACCCGAGTATTCGACCAGAGGAACAGCGAGATACTGTTAGAGATTATTTTTCTTCTCTTTTAATGTTTTCAATATTTATACTTGTATAATAATTGTTTTAGTATGGAATATTAATAGTAATTAGTAGGTACCTACTACCTACCTGTTTACTGTCGTGTATTTCGTACTAGTTGGAATACTCGCGTGTTCAGTCTTACACACTTGCTATAATACATTGTATTTAATCATATAAATGCTAATGGGCAAATCTTAAACGGTACCTATAAACTATAACTTTTCTAACCGTTGCCTATTATAACTGAATTCCTGTGAAATTATCGGATATTAGATAACCGCGAATGAAATTAATTATTTCTTTACAAATTTGAAATAATTAATTTTATAATTTAATCGTGCTCTTTGTTTTATAGGATTTTTCGATTTATTTTTCAATGTGCATAATACATATAACAATTTTTATATTATATTTATACCTAAATGGTAATGTACCTAAGTTAGTATCATATCCTATTTCAAAAAAATATATATATTTCAGTAACATGTATAATATTGGATTTTATTATTGAATTTTAATTTAAAACACAAATAGGTTAACAACAGGTATGTCCAGTGGAATAATTAAGGGGGAGGCAAAGGTATATCTTTGCCTAACCCCCACATTTACCAGCCTTTTAATTAATTTACTCGTTTACACTTTATACTCAATATGGGTACTTTCAACCTACTATACCTACAATTTGATTCTAAACCATAAAACGAGGAGTCTTGACTTATGTAAAAACGATCAATTAGGCATGAAGAGAATAATGATATATATTTAAAATCGTATTATAATTTATAGCCACAATTATATATATAGGTAATCGTTAAAAATGTGTTGGTACCTTTTTAAGTAAATATTGTTAAATAATTTGATTTTTGTAGACAATTAGCCATTCGATAATAGGTAGCTACTTTGCAATTACATAATGATTAAAATTAAATTATACATTTATAACTTAAATACCTACTTTTGTTTTTATTATTTATGGCAACAATTGCATGGTCGCTGGTTTTTACTGCGAGGAGGGTACGGTTGGTTCGGAACACGAGTATATATGGCAATGATTTATCACTAAGAATTCGGGTGGTCACCCATCCGAGAACTAGTGACAGCGGTCGGTGCTGGCACTTAGAACGCGTTTTTGACAGGAGTCAAACACCAAGCCAAGCCATGATAATACTTTTAATTTTTATAAGAATAACTTCTTAAGATAGTAAAACGCGAAGTAATGTTGAAATCTTAAAAATGCTTGGTTTAATATCGATCAAAAATTTGATCCAATCTGAATTTCTTCATAATTCGTATCTTATTAATTATTTATATCTTATATGTACCTATCTACCTACTACCTATAGTATAATAATATGTTGTGTTATTGTAAAGTACAATTTATAGTATTTTAAATATTCTAATAACAGACCTATAATAGCTTATAGTTATATAAAAAACTCATTTAAATAATTTTGAATAAAAGTGTTGATTCTTGAATAACTTAAATTGTTTGTACCTTGATCAAAAAATGGAATATTCCAAGAATAGTGAATTGTCAACAATACTATATATACATTCTGTATAGATTACTTTTTGTAAACAAATAATAATGTTTAAGAAATCAGTGTTGTTAACTCTGCGGAATGGTTTAATATGTGAATTATGAATACACACATAACATACATTCATTATTCAAACAAAAAACCTAGTATACCTATATTATGTATGTGTTTTGTTTCTACGTTTTTGATACCTATAAATCATAATTTCATGCTTATTTTATTCATTTTTTCTTCGGAATTGTGAAGTATGCGCAGGCGCGGACTGGTAAAAAAGGGCGCGGGATGCTACATAATTTAAAGGGCAAATAAAACAAATTTTAAATAATAGGTTATTTATAAAATATTTAAACATTTTCTTTTGTTTTAATAAAATATTGTAAATACGTTAAAAATGTAAATAGGTGCCTAATTACAACAGCAAGGCAAGGTTAAGCAACGGCAAACTTAAGGGTCAGTAAATTGTGATTAATTTTTGCCCCCCCCCCCCAACTCCCCATCCCATAACAATTAGAGCTAAGTTCCCCTTATAAAGATTGTGTTAATAATAAATTAAGAAAGTATATTTAATGTATATAAAAAGCTGCTCAAACTAATTTACCTATCTTCTTATTGGCTACCTACTTTAAATGTATTCTTTTTTCTTTATGATTGTTATAGTTATTACTTATTAGTTATTACATAAATAATAGATGTACATCTACCTATGATTTTATCAGAGAATTTTAACCTTCTCCTTCAAAATTCAGATTAATTTTAGGTGGGCACATTTATACCGATAGGGGCAAATATATTTTAGGGCAAGGGATGCTGTAGCATCCCAGCATCCCTGCCAGTCCACGCCTGAGTATGCGTATGCAACATATACTTAATCTTAAAAGTATACTGGGCATTTAACGTTTTAGACTGTACACTTATAATTTCAAAAACTATTTTCTCAAAATATTTTTGCAAGTACCTACCTATATAATTTTAAAAAATATTTATTTATTACAATTTTTTATCTTTTTATTTTTTGTAATATTTATTTTGATAGTGACAAAATGCATTTTTGATTTCTTATTCCATTTTCTAAAGCAGAATATTTTCTAGAGTATTTCGATATTGTTCAAAAATTTAATTTTGGATGAGTGGTGTATGAGTATTAAATTATAAGTTATGATATAAGTAGGTAATTAATTTTTGATGAGTGGAGTGGAATTGTTCCAGCGTACCTCGCAGAATATTGGTCCACTTCCCCGCTCATCTAAACTTTAAATATTGTTATAAGTTATAACTTATTATACACTTGGGTATTTCTAAATTAAATGTCCAAAATTTCATTTTTATTGATCGAAAAAGGTACTTTAAATAATATTTTTCTTCGGAATATGAGATTATAAATGCACGTTGTCATTCAAAAAAATAAAAAGATAATTTTTGTCAAAAATTATGATAAGCAATAACTTAAAATTATATAAACCAAACATTTTCAAAAATCTTAGTATTTTCTGTAACAAGATTTTCTCTAACCTAACCTTGCGTTAAATGGATAATCACGTATACTTACCTATGATAATATGTATTTGTGAGTATAAGAACATTATAACTACCTCTTTGGGTAATGGCTATGAACCATTTAAATATTTTGTAGTTATTAATTGTAGTTTATATTTTGTTGCATCTAAATGCTTAATTCATTTAAATCAATAATTGGATAGTTTTAATTTCATCTACTTTTTTAAACGCTGTAAGAGTGCGATATTAAATGTTATGGTCATTGCCAATATCACATCAACTTTAATGATATCATAGAATTTCATAATTACAACCAATGTCACGTGTATATTAAACACAATTTGTTTGGTTGTAGGTATAGACGTATCGCATCTACAACTATATATAATATGCACCTATAGATATTACAAGTATTTACAATAGCTACAGTTTTATCAAAATTCATAAGTTTTATATTTTGAAATTTTAATATCAGTGGCGAAGCGTCATAGGAGACAATAAGACAACGTCTATCATCTTGGAAATTAGAATACCGGAAAAATAAATATTAATTTTGTTTTATAAAATATGTATACATTTGAATTTATACTTCATATTATAAAATATATGATGTACCTATGTTCTAATATTTTTTTTAATCGGTTTTCGGTGTACAGTTATAGAATTATTAAAATAGAATATATGGGCTCGATACGGCTGTGTGTACGAACTTTCGATACGGGTCATTCCGAATATGGTATTTTATCAAATAGACATTGCGACGCAACGTGGGAGCGCGGGTATACAATATATGTTTTATATTGTTTGTTATAATAAATTTGTTATTTAATTTAATTATTATTTTAAGGAATTTATAAAGTGTTTAAATATAATATTTAAGGGGGAATCAAGACATATTATTACTATTTTATTCGGTGTCTCCCCGATCAAAAACCTCATGCCTCGCTACTAGTTAATACCTATGTGAGTTTTGTTTGAATATTGTTTTTTATAAAACTGAATGCAGCAGGTATAATAAAGTAGTATAGATCGTGGAATATAATATATGAGCTATAGTTTCTATCTCCCAAATGATGCGATCGTATATTGCGTATGAGAGTCTATATAGAGAAAATTTATTCAAGTAGCTTATTGCTTATTTGTTAATTTAATGTTTTTGTTATTTAAGCTTGATTAGGTTTTTAAAACGCTTTTTTTAATTTAAACAGAAAACACTGAATCAAATAATTAAATGCATATTAAATATACCTAGTCATTAAAATTCAAAATCAAAGTTTAGCAAATTAAAAATATGTAAAATCGTTGAATTATAATAATTGACCAGAATAAATATATCGTATCATATATCATACTATGTTTACGCAATATAAAATTATCAGTTACCTAAACTCTACTATTTTGAAGTAGAAATTGCCATATTAAAATGCATTTAACCCATGCGTTTAGGAAATCTGAAAATTAAGTTATTGTGGTAAGTATTGTGATAATTATTTACCATGGTAGTATAATATGGTCCATTTATCTAAAGAATTATTAACATAAATTATATGTTTTGTAATGTTATAAATAATTGTTTTTTAATTTGCTAATGCAGAGTAATGTTTTAAACGTGTGACATTTTGTTTTGAACATATTGCATAGATACCCCTACCTATAAGTAAAAATAATTATTTATAATAAGTTTTTACGAAAACATGAATAACATGTACCTATAGGTAAGCCGTATAACTCGTAAGTATAGATACCTACATTTATAATAGAGGTTCGGATAATTTTAAACTTTACAACACACGTGCGATAGTTGTATTCTTATTGTCAAGGTGCAAGCGCAGTAGTTGTAGGGAAGGTACTACGTTTTATCTGTTAATTTACACTAAGAAATTTTTATTTTTCTAGGCTAATGATACATGTATATGGTATGGAGAATGTGAACGGGTAAACGAATTACATGTACTTAATTGCCGTTATGATGGACCCCCAAAACCGATGACCGACCCAACATCTTTAGCTGTTCTTAAAACGTGGTGTCCTGATTTCATACAAAATCATTCAAAAGGTAAGTCGATGTTTGCTATTTTTAAATTTAATTTATTATATGATTTTTGAATAAGTATAATGATTAAAATTGTAATATAATTTATGTCATAAAATATGATTTTAATAATATTGCCATTTTAATATATATGTGTCGAATAGTAAATACCTACCTAAAAGATAATAGTTATATAGGCGACATAGATAATAATACTTTTTACGAAGAAAACATCTATATAGTTATAAATATGATTGTTACACCTTGACATTGACAAAAGTTAAAATTGCACCTACTAAAAAAATTGTTCTTATAATAAAAAAACAGAAGTGATAAGCAATATATTATGTGAATGATGAAAAATCTTGTAGATGCCTAACTTCAGTTTATAAATAAAAACTTGAAACAAGAAGTATAAACCACGAACTATCTTTATTTTTATTCTAAATACATTATATGTATATGACGAATTTATTAAATACCAATTTTGCTCATTGTTACAATTTAAAAGAAATTAATACTATTTAAAAATGTATTCATCTGTATATTATAACAGGTATATTGATTCGTTTGAAGATTTTTTTAGTCAGCTCTAGCTTATATTTATATAAAAAAAATGATTGAATAGGTAAATTAAACTCATGTATATCAGTGTTCTTTTTTAATGTAGTCATGTAGGTACCTATATATATTTCAGTGAAATGAGTGAAGTGAATTATGCAATTAAGTAATACAGTATGTCAGTGTTACTTATTGAGAAATGACCCATGAAATATTCAGGTTAGTTTTAAACATTTTTTCTTAAAACCAGTTACTCTTTTATTATAATGAATAACCATAAGTACATAAGTATCTAATTTAGTTATTTCATAATAAATTGAAAGTTGAAGGTAAATAAAAGACTTTAATTAACCATTACATACTTTAAGTAGTACACTTATTGTACACTTGTACAGATCAAAGATGTACATATAAGTATAAGTAAGTCTATACCATATTTATGTTGTATAAAAAGTATATCATCGTTATATTGATGCAGGTTGAACAATGTACCTTTCGTTCTGCATAAATCCAAATTATTATATTATACTTACCTCAAACTTGTTTAAAATTCATCTCGTACCCTAAGGACAAAAATTTATATTTTATTTTAAAGGCTAGCCGCTAGCCCTAAAAATAAAATTAAAAAACCATAATATATAGCCTTCAATAAAAACATGTGTATTTTATTTTACTTTTAACTCCATAACCTAACCTAACATAGTATATACGATAGGTGTAAGTATTAGCTAGGATAGGTTAGGACTTTATTTCATATACAACATAAAACTGTATTTATAAATTAAAATGTTAGGATTTAATATTAAGTGCCCGTTGCCCCTGCAATGTATGAATAGTTCAGTATATAATTCGATAGTTCAAATTAATACAATTATGAGGATTTTTATGTTTGAATAATTCAACTAAGGTGTAAAACGCTCTAATTATTATTGAAATAAATAATAAAGTCAAAAATGTTGTATTATATGATAATAATAATAATTATTATTACTATAATATTAACTACAATATAATAACTAAAATCTGTATTTTCCATTTAAATACCAAATATTGTTTAAATTTGAACTTAATAAATTCATTAAAAAGACAGTGTTTATTTTAAAAAACCTATCAAGAATCGAAATCCCCATCAATAACTTAAAAACAGTCAACATTTCAAGTATCTACAGTTATTGGTATTTGGTTGACTTACACCAAAAAACAAAATCGATTTTGTTAAAAATAATATTAAATCAAAATTCTCGTTTTTCTTTAATATTTTTCTATTCCCAGCGCTTTTTAACACTTCCATGAAATTTCAATTTTGATCTTTTAATACTAGATTCATTTTCCACCAGAAAAGAGCGTATTTGGAATTCGAAGCTACTTGTCGTGTACATAAAATGTTAAAAATTAAAAGAGACATGACTATAAAAAAATCAATACATTCACCGCTCAGCTCAGAATCTAATGATGAACATACCTACATTTTATGAGACATGCCTAGTAGTTTATATTCAGTTGTTCATAGAATGAAACAGTCGAACCTTATTATAACAAAATTGTCTTGTATTGTTTAAAAATCGTCTAGATTATTTATCTTATCATTATAATTTATGGACACTATATTTATACATAGTACAGATGTCATTGTGAGTATATAAATATTTAAGCATACATTACATTACAGTGGCGTAGCCAGGATTTTTTTCGGGGGGGGNATGCAAAACCCTGTCTTTACATATAAGACTAACTAACAGAAAAGTTATAGGGTAGGCAGTGGCGTAGCCAGGATTTTTTTTCGGGGGGGGGGGGGGGCTAACAATAAAAATTGAATGAATATAATAAAATATATTAACTACCAATCAGTGGCGTAGCCAGAATTTGGGGGGGGGGGGGGGCTGATCAATTTTTACACAGCGGTGGTTTAGTTTTTGATCGAATACCATAGACCATTAAAATAATTTTTAAATTTTATTAACATTTCGGGGGGGGGGGCTGTAGCCCCCTCAGCCTCCCCTCTGGCTACGCCACTGATACATCATTTATTATGTATAATGTACACAATTTAATATTTATATCTGTTCCCTATAATATGGCTATACGCCTATACGCATTAACATTGAATTTAATATTTTTATAAGTACGCTATCGTTTATATCGTCATATGACACAATAAATTGGTTCTACAATGTGAGTTCTATCCATAATTTAAGGGTAACATTTAAATCATTTAATACATTTTAATATTTTATAATAAATACTTATTATTTTTAAAAGCAAATATTATATAAAAGTAACGTTTACCAAATAAAAATACATTTTACGTTCTTAATATAGCTTACAATCGTTCAATAAAATAAAAAATAGGAGTGCATGTAACACATTCTAAAACATATGTATCAGAATCACTTAGTAATGAAAATTCAGTCGTAAAAATAATATGTTCCTACCACCTTACTAATATGTTTTTTGGATATAAGAGTATATAACTTTATTACAAAAACAATGTCACTAATAATAAAATAAAATCATGAATTTTGAAATTCTAATATATATTTAACTATTTAAGAATTTTGCTGTATTTGATTTTGTATGCAATTTTAACCACACCGCTATTTAAAAAAAATACTATGTATTTCTAAAATGTTGACTCAATTAATCTTCTGGCTAAAGTAGAGATAGTTATTGCAATTTCAGAAAAATAAAATTAGATGTCACACTTTTATGATTTCTTAGAAATATAATGTTTTAAAAATGATGAGTTTAGAAATTCGTTTAAAAATTTTTACTACGCATATTATGGTATTGTATTACTATCTTTTGAAGAGTTTGCATTGAAATGAGTATTAACTAAAATGATATTTACTTATATGCGATTATATTATAATAATTCATGTTGCCAAATGTCGATAGATTTTTTTACCACTGATTGGATACTTGTTTATTTATATCTTTAAACATTGTATCCATCATAATTGTATGTCTTAACAGTTGACATTCTAATTTACATTAGGTACCTATGTACCTTTTAAGTACAGTTGCAGGGTATTTAGGCAAGTGCCTAAGTAAATGTACCTTTTCCCTTGTCAATATAATTTAGGATTGACTATTTTTTTAAATACCCAAATGGCTAAATGTCGGTACATCATATTTTAATTCATTTCGAATTTCGGCACATTGTATTTAATTTTAATAAAAAATAAAACGATTATCGAGAAACACGTTTTAACATCAAAGTAAAATATTATAACTTTTTTGAAAACTTAAAATTACAATTATTATATTGTTTTCATTATTTTTGTATTTGACTTCAGTATAAAATGTATACTTCATTTAATTAATTAATTAATTCAACGATGTTTTGATAAATACAAATAAGGATTATCTACAAACCAACTTAAATAATTAAAAACGATATCGATAAATATATTTAGTGATTAGAAACAATTATGAACACAGATTAAATTTGTGTACCTACCTACCTATTTGTGAATTTATAAATTATAGTATAAACAATAGCTTATCGGCTTTATCCATACACTTGGATAGTCAATATAGTTCAGTTAAGTAATGGACATACCTTAGAAAAATGCTATTTACATTCCAAATTTGAACTTAGAATGTCTTTAAAAAAATAACTGTATTCATATATTTTTTAGATTTATTAGTTATGGAAAAAACTGCTTAAGTGGAATCTTATTTTAAATTTTTATTCTCTAGCTATAAAAATTGAACATTTTATACATTTTTAACTACAAAATCATTTTCAATTTTCATCTTGATAAACATTGTCAACATTTGAACTTTCAATGCTTAAAAAGTAGTGCCTATGTATTTTTGATATTTTTCAACCGCTATTGAAACAAGTTATCAAAAATCTTTCATTAAATTTTCATGCTTTTTGACCCAACCAATAAAATCGTATTGACATTTATAGAAAAAAAGGAAAACGAAAATGTTCGTCAATAGCCTAAAACGAGTCAGAAAATTTTGAAAATTTTATCAAGTATATGAATTGATAAAATAAACATTTGGTGTAAATTTCAAGTGTCTACAGTGTAATTCGTTTTTGAATTACAGCAAAATAAGAAAATCGCTACAAGAGAAATCGAGTGAATATCCAATGTTGTAACAATTTCAACTTCAAACCCTCATCAAAATTTAATTTGACTTTCCGGTAGAAATTTTTGTTTTTGATAAAAGTAGACAAACTTGTAAGGAATCTTGTATTACATTTTTAAATTTTAGATATAAATAAAATTTTTTTTATTAATTTCTAATTAAATATAATTTGCTAATTTTCGTGATGTTAACGAATTTTGTCAAAATCGCTCATTTTTTTTTTTTAAATTTCCATTAACAACAACTTATAAGGAACGTTGCATTACATTTTTAAGTTTTTTGACCGTGCAAACATTTTATCGACTTGAGTTTATAAAAAACAAATAATAATCGAAAATTTAATATGCCTATAAATAGTTCAACACAAATATTTTGAAAATTGTATGGTGATTAGCAAATGCTCACATAAATATTCAGTGAACATTTCATGTATCTACGGTTATTTTTGCTAGAGTTACACTAAAAACCAAAATCGGTTTTTTCGAAAAATGGTTTAGCATAAAAATTCCCGTTTTTCCTTAATTTTTTGTTTGTTTTTCCTGTTGTTTTTGAAAACTATTGGGAATTTTAAATTTTTACCTCCCGAATGCACCATCTATATTCACTTTTCTACCAGAAACGATACTATTTAATAAAATCAAAGCATTTTTACTGTAAGAAATCGTGATGACAGACGCAAAAAAAAATATAAAAACAATCCAAACATGTAATCCGAATGTAAAATCAATACATTCATCTCTCCCCTCAGAATCTAATATTATATTATACATATTATAATTACCTTGAGTTAATAGGTATAGTTAATAAATAAGAATAACCAAATATATTGTCTATATATTCATTTTTAATTTGATTCAATTATAAACTTTCATACCACTGGCGAAGTAGAATTTTTTTTCTGCATTTGATGTATAATTATCTTGAACTGATTCTATTAGGTACTAAGTTACAAAATAAATATAAGTTTTTAGAGTTTAAACTAATTACACATATTATTATATTTTTACCACAATTTATATTAATTTGTTTTTAGACGGACAAGCTCTTAATACGTGTTGCGGAGTCGATCAGCTTTCAACATTAAGCACAAGTATTGAACAGGCTGCAAGCTTTTTACGCAGATGTCCGTCATGTATGAGCACATTTGGAAGATTTCTTTGTGAAATGGTTTGTTCGCCGACGCAGAGCCGATTTATGAATGTCACCAAATTAACTCAAAACGGTCAGTACAATTTCACGATAATTACAATCCTATTACGAAATTTCTCAAATTAATTCATGAGTATAAATGTCTAGTATTGTTAAATACTATTTTTGCATTGAAATTCTGAGATGGAAATCCGTCATTGTCCGTTATTATGAATAGTATATTATATTGGGTACTGTTTCACAACCACACTCAATTTATATTGTATCTGCTATATAGGTACATCGATACGGGAGTTGGATTTTTATATTTCCGATTCATATATGCAAGGCGTTTACGATTCGTGTAAATCTGTGCAAAACCCGGCTACTGGTGAATTAGCAATGGATATGATATGTTCGGGAGCAATAGGCTGTTCTGCACATAAGTAAGTGTGAATATAATATTTGGAACCCGACTTTGGATAAATCAGATAAAACCATTTTTTTCCCTGCGCTTTAAAAAACTATTGAGAGTTAAGGTGCCACTAGTAGATTCACTTTCCTACCAGAAAAGATAGTAAAGTAGAAAATGTAAGCATTTTTACTGTCTCAAAAGGTAATGACAGACACACAAATTGTAAAACCAATACATTTGCTAAGAATCTAAAAGGTGGACAAGCGAGTACAGCTCTGCTATCGAGGATATCATTATAATGGGAATAAGTTAAATTTGAATTCAATGTTAAATCATTGTAAGCGAAACAATATTCTGAATTAACACGTCTGTCCTGTAGATTGTATAGTATATTAGTATACCTACATGTACAATTATAATGATTGCATAACTTATATTTTCCTGATCAGTGGTGTGACTTTTAAATTATTAAATATATTTTTTTAGGTGGTTTAGATTCTTGGGAAACAATCCATACCTAGGTTTTATCATAAATTACATACCAGTTGTAAAAACTGATAATCCGAAACAATTTGTAGGCCCAGTAATACCTTGTCATCAAGCGGTAGATGTGAGTAATTTATAATTATTGTTCATAATAACATGCTATTAAACATTTCGACTTTCAGAATAAATCTACTGCTTGTAGCTGCATGGACTGTGAACAAAGTTGTCCATTGCCAGATAAGATACAAGAACCTCAGAAATCGTTGAATGTAGCGGGTATTGAAATTGTAACTATGTCATCGATAATTTTGTTTTGTTTCATTATGTCAATATTTGCTGGATTCATTTGTTTTAAAGGTAATTTTAAAATTTAACCACCTATTACCTATAAAAAAATAACTAAAATGCATATGAATGAACTATTACTATTTTGTGCCAAAATTAACACGATGCTATGTTTTATAGTTATCAAGTTATCATGCATTTAGAATTACAATTACTCTGACTAAATCGGCATTAAGTTTGAGAAAATTGCAATGTCTAGATATTTTCCTTTACATGAACTATAACCTACTTTCGTTCCAAATTGCACGTTTCTACCTATATGGAAAGTACCTTATAATTTTGATCATCGGTCAGTCAGTAACAAAAAATCAAACATTGAATAGTACTACCCTTTTAAAAAAGACTTAATATTATGTGCTCAAATTTGTACAATGTCCTTACATCCATAAACTTAATCTATGTTTCAATGTCAAAAGTCCATCTTAAGAGGAAACAGAAATATGAAGGTTAGAAAAACCGGCTGAAGCCGTTCATGTAAAAATACACTGATATTGCAGGAACGTGGATTGCTCACTACCGTGGGCTCAGATTTAATATTGATTTACTTACTGTATAAGAACTAACTATATGTTTCAGATGTACTAATGAACAGGAGCAAGAAAAAAAATGATAAACATAAGTATATAATTACAGAACATACTAAAACAAAACATAAAAGTATGTTGGAAATTTTTTTTTATAAAATTGGGAAATGTAAGTAAAATTAAAGTCCTTATTTATTATATTTGTTTGTTTGTTAATTATATTTATTACAATCATTATAGATTTCGCTAGTAGATCATATATTTCACTTATTGCATCAGTGTGTCTGATTGCCACATTGAGTCATGGTATTCACTACATAAAAATCACAATCGATCCAGTAGATTTATGGTCATCTACGAACAGCCAATGTCGGCAAGAGCGTGAATATTTCAACACAAACTTTAAGCCATTTTACCGAACCACACAAATCATTATCGAGCCAAACGGAGTCCGAGATGTAAATTTATTCCGAAAATTGACTAATCAATAATAAACAATCACATTTATTTAATATTTTAGGTAATCTATAACACAACTGAAGGTTCGTATACGTTTGGACCAGTGTTCAACCGTACTTTCTTGCTGGAAGTTCATAAACTACAACAGCAAATTGAAGCCGTAAGTTTTTTGTATATGTTCAAATTAATTCATTACTCTATTATGATATACAAATTTAATACATGATAATATATTTTTTGCAAACAGTTGGGCAGCCCAGATAACGGACTAGACAAAGTGTGTTTTGCACCACTTGTATCTAAATTCAAAGGTCCACCAAAAGTTTCGGATTGTCTAGTTCAAAGTGTTTGGGGCTATTTTGGAAACAAACCTTACAAACTGAATCGACGTCCTAACCCCGATAGTTACTTTGAAAAATTACAAAAATGCTTTCAGTAAGTGTGTAATATTTACAATTTAAATATAGTAGTGAGTTTAATTTATTTATCATTATACATTTAATTATTAGTTATTATATCGTTTATCCGTTCAGTCATATTAGAAGATCTATAACAAAAAAAAAATTGAATTTATGTTATTGCATTTTTGTTCACTTAATATTCTACGTGGAAAGCAAAAATTAACACTACCAAATTCATCACATGTAATAACCTTTTTAAAAGAATTTTTCCTCTAGCAATCCTATCCAACTCACGCCTTGTTTCAAATCTCACTTTATATACTCAGATCTGTATAATATAAGAATCAGCATCCAAACAACTCCATCGAATTAATATGTTTTTAATTTCCGATAGAACATACCTACCCCCTCATTAAATGTAGAGGTACCTACTATAATTAAACATAATTTTTAAAAAGGTGTCACCGTTAGGTTACTTCAGACTTATCAATTATTTTTCTTCTTCCGAGACGAACTGTAACAATAATTGTTCGCACATACGCTTATTGTTAAACATTATAATTTAGATATTATGTAATACACTTATTTTTGATTACAATTTTTCAAAAAATGTCTTTAATAATGAATAAATTACTTACTGAATAAATTATTCATTTATTAAAAATAAAAGCAAACATCATTATCATTATTTTTTACAGTAATCCGTATCATCCACAGTGTTTAGCACCTTACGGGGGTCCAGTGGATCCGTCTATTGCCTTGGGAGGCTTTTCCAATTCCAGCGAACCGATTACTAAAATGTCTCCTTATGAAAAAGCGACATCGTTGTTATTAACATTTGTACTCAACAACCATAACAGCAAACCTTTGTTGAAAGATGCACTAGAATGGGAAAACAAGTACCTATAACAATTTGTATTATGTTGTACATTTTCCACTATTTGTGTGTTTTCAATAGGTTTTTGGATTTTATGAAGAACTGGACTATGGTTTCAAAACCGTCTTTCATGGATGTAGCTTATTATTCAGAACGTTCTGTGGAAGATGAGTTGGATAGAGAATCTCATTCAGATGTGTCTACAATAGCTATAAGTTATTTAGTCATGTTCTTATACATAGTTTTTACTCTTGGATGGAATAAAATCATTCTAAGTTTTTTCGGGATAGTAACCGTTATATCGTCTGTCGTTTGTTCAGTTGGTTTCTACGGTATGATCGGTATACCACTGTCCTTGATCGTACTGGAGGTAATAATATAATATACTGCATAATATTGTTGTTATTTACGATTTTACTTCTTCCGGTTTTAAATAATTACTTTCCATAAAAAGTATGATTATGTTCGTTTTATCAGGTCATACCTTTTATTGTTCTTGCTGTCGGAGTTGACAATATATTCTTGATAATTCGAACATATCAACAAATGGACATGAAAGAAGACGAATTGGTTCCTGATTACATCGGTCGTGTTTTAAGCAAAATCGGACCGTCAATTTTTATCACTACCCTAGCAGAAATAACATGTTTCTTTATTGGCAGTTTGTCAGATATGCCTGTTGTTAGATCTTTCGCATTATATGCCGCGATGGCTTTAGTGTTCAATTTTTTGCTACAGATGTCTTGTTTTATAGGTTTATTAGCATTGGATGCTAAACGAGTAAGTATACCTACTTGGTTAAAATAATCTATCATACTTTTATTATTGATTGTTCATCAAATATTTTTCCAAGCTTGTGTACCTATACTGACATGTGTTTTTATTATGTCGATTCAGAAAACAGTTAAGCAAGAAATTAAAAAACAAAGTTTAGTGTACACCACGTTTCAAAAATTGTACGTTCCAGTTTTAATGAACAAATATGTTAGACCATTGATTGTATTATTATTTACTACTTGGCTTTGCTTCAGTATTGTGGTTATTCCAAAAATTGATGTGGGTCTGGATGTTGAATTAACTATGACCCATGATTCTTATGTGCTTAAATATTTTAAAGTAAAGTACTCTTCAATATAAAATATTAATCACTATAAATAATTTAAATAAATAATAAATATTTATTGTTAATAATAGTTTATGAAACGTTATTTTTCGACTGGACCTCCTGTTTATTTTGTGGTCACTGACGGGTTGAATTTAACCAATATTGATGACCAAAATCTTCTCTGTGGTGGTACTCATTGCGATCAATATTCAATCGCTAATCAAATTCACAGGGCTTCAAAAACGGCAAATTTGTAAATGATTGAACACAACAATTTCATTACATTTTATCTAATTTAAATTTAAATAATTTTTAGAACATACATAAACAGGCCTTCGACATCGTGGATTGATGATTATTTTGATTGGACTGCTCTTTCAAGTTGCTGCAAAGTTACTGAGAACGATAGTTTTTGTCCTCACAATGATAATTGTTCTAGCTGTAATATCACTAAAAATGATTTGGGTCGACCAAATGTTCATCATTTTACAAAGTTTTTACCATATTTCCTCCAAGATAGTCCAGATAAAAACTGTTCGAAAGCTGGACATGCAGTTTATAGCGATGTAATTATAAAAGATACGACAATACCTAATTATTATTTCATTTTTCATGCTAATATTATACTTATTTATTTGACACACATGTAGGCTATTTCTTTGAAAAAAAATTCAACTGGACCTAACTATTTTATGTCATTTCACACTGTATTGAAAACATCCAAAGATTATTATGAATCAATGCGCTCTGCTAGATCAATAGCAAATAATATGACTGAAACAATTAGAAGAAAATTTCCTAATACGACCACTGTTGTTTTCCCATACAGGTGAGTTTTCTCCAATCATCCATATATATAATTACAATTTATAATATTTATTAATGTGTGATTGTATTTGCAGTTTTTTTTATGTATTTTATGAACAATACTTAACCATATGGCAGGTATGCATTCAACATTTTGTGTTGTCATTTGTAATGGTAACATTTGTAGTGTGGACGTTTTCTAATTTCGAAAAATCTTCAGCTTTTACTCTTCTTATAGTTAATATAATGATAACAATAGACTTGTTAGCATTTATGTATTATTGTGATATTTCTCTTAACGCAATATCATTGGTAAACATTGTAATGGTGAGTTGTACAAAAACTTAAACATACCCAACCTAATTTAATATATTTTTAAAATGTATCTCTATTATTTAGGCTATAGGAATAATGGTTGAATTTTGTGGCCATATAATTTTTCATAACGCAAAATCAATTATCTCTTGCCCAATTCAACGAGCTACCCATTCTTGTGTAGAAGTTGGAAGTTCGGTAAATACACAAATTATGTATAAAATATATCTAATGTATCTACATTATGTACAATGTACATAAATAGGTATGTCATATTATGTAGATTTATGTATACTGAACGAGTAAAATTTGTTGTTCTAAAAATAAGAATATTGAATGCGTTAGGTTTATATTATGGCAATTAATATATAATATAAATGCATATTTTTGATTAATAGGTGTTCTCTGGCATTACCTTGACAAAATTTGCTGGCCTTGCCATACTTGGTTTTGCAAACACACCAGTGTTTAAAATATTTTACTACAGAATGTACATGGGTATTGTTATTATTGCTGCTTTGCATAGTTTAGTGTTCCTGCCAGTTCTACTGAGTTACAGAGGTATTCAGAACTAATTATTTATTTATTCATTTAATCATCAATTATATTTTAATTAATGTATTATAATGTCTTAGGTTCAGCTTATGTTCTAATAGAAAAGACTGATAGTGCTAAGAAAAAAACTAAAAGTTGTAAGCTGCAACTGTTAGAAGTGAATGTGCTTTGACGATAGAAAAATATCAAAATGCAATCACTTTTATTTTATGTAACTGAAAATCATTAACTACTCTTTTTATTTTTTCTAACTTGTTGGTACACCTAAGTTGTTTTAATTTAGTTATATATTAATCATTAATGAAAACCAATGTTAAGTACCTATTAATTATATGTTTTTACAGATAATCAAAACATTTTAATTTACTGATAGTAAAAAAAAAACAATTCAGTGATAAATTTTTATAATTTTTTATGTTAGGATAATGCAATTTTAGCACTTGAAATGTTAGTTGTTATAAATTACTATATAATGATTACCATTTGTAATTTTATTTTTTTTGTGTTTTTAAATGGGGAATTTTTAGTTTGCTATTAAAAAAAAAAAAAAATATTAATGAATTTACTAAATGTCTAAGTAATAAGATATATGATTATAGAATTATCTGACTTAGTTTTAATCATGGCTATCTCATCAGATAATTAAATATAATAAACTGCAATGTTATAACATTATTTTTACTAATAATCCTTTATTAGCATTAATATAATTTGTTAAACATCTTTATGCCTATAATAATATAAGACAATATTACCACAAGAAAAACAATATCAAAATATATGTGTTTCATACGCAGTAGTTAGGTTAGATTAGATTTAGTTAACCTATCTTGAAGCTAGTATAAACTATAAACAGAGGTGCCGAAAGTCAGTTTAGTCTATGGGCTATGACAAATGTCGTAGACTCGTAGGTAAATTAATAGTTGGATAATTTGTTTGTTAGAACTTGCGAGTTGGTAGATGCTTTAAAAATAATTATGCCATAGGCATTTCAAAAACATTGGTGCTTCTTAGTTTTAAAAAATGCCGTTTATTCTATGAACCACAAGTTAGTTAAAGTAAGTTAACCATAATATTATAATATAGGTATCGTATTATAAAATATTATTTGGCTGTTTTAATACTATATAGGTTGAATGGTATACCTATATACTAAAGTTATTCGAGAAAGCTTATTATTTATATGTAATGAAAGTGTATTTATTATTAGTTTAATTTAAATTGTTTTTGTATTAACTAAAAAAAAATGATGTATTGAATTATAAAAATGTGTAAAAATACTTAATGTAACAATTTGTTCCTATTGTATCTTTTTGTTAATATTGTGGGCTTTAAAATTATATTAATACAATTACAACATACCAATTTGTTTATTAAATGTGGATAATGAAAGTATAATTTTTTTAAATATGTTTATTAAAGTTTAAATAAATGTGTGCATCATGTTTAATCAGCTTGTTTTGTTTTTATTCATAATAAATTTAATTTGTTATACCTTGTTTGAAGAACATTTTTGGAATAAGTATTCTACTGAATACTATTATACATTTATACTTTTACTTAACATTTAGTTGGCATTAAAGTTAAATTTATTTTTATTATTTGCATCATTTACATTCTGAAAAGAAAAAAATCAAAAATTCTTGGTTTTAAAAAATTGATTTGAATAAATTACACATTTATACTTTAAAAAAAAGGTTTGACCCGTATGTGGGTAACCTGAAGAAAGATTTTTAAAAAAATCAGGTGTGCATGAAACCCAAAACAGTTAGTTTTTAGTTTAAAAGATTTCACTTTTTATACTTATTATGTTAAACCGATTTTATAGATCTTACAGGAGCTTTGAATTGGTAATTTCTTGCTATATTTGAAATCAAATCAAACATACGTACCTACAGGGCCGGCGTTACACAATTTTGTCGGGAGGGGGGGGGGAGAGAGATCAAGTATTTCCGACTCAAATTTAATTTATGCCGACTCAAAAATTCTAAAAAAAAAATACGTGAAGTATAAAAATTCCTGGTTTTTCCGTGTTAAGATGAAGTAAAATAGTTAAAACAAAAACAAAATATAGAACTAAAACATTTTAAACCATTTTATACTTAGTTAAAATATTTGTTACTTGTATTTCATTCAGATGTAAAGATACAAGGCTGTCGGAACTATTTTAAGATCTAAAAAATAAGTCGTGTACGAATATAAATCAATCAGTGTTTGTCAATAACTCAAAAAATTAAGTAAATAATACAATTTTTTTAATTTAGCAGACGGCAGATGGCAGTACATCATATTATTTAACAAAATAGATTATATACGGGTACTTGAGATAGGGATGTCCGAATGCCGATTAGCGATGGCAATGATATGCCGACGGACTTAACGTTGTACAACGTACAAAAACAAATATATATTATAGTATTATAATACGGGTCCTTACTCCTTAGCCAACAATATCAGTCGGCAGTATTTAGATTTCTAAATCGGTAAATTCTCAACTCCCGACTGCCGAGACCCGTTCCTATATTAAATTTTTTTTTTTTTTTCAAAAAGTATAATTTCCAACGGACGGCTCCCTGAAATTGCCGACTGATAATTGTAAAAAAAATTCAACAGGGGGGGGGATGTGACGACCCACCATACCCCCATTGCCCCCGGCCCCGCGTACCTACTATATATTATATACATATGCACCTACATATTAATATTTCCAGCTAGTAGTTGTTATACTGTGTACTATTTTCTATAGATTTTAAACAACCAATAAGGGCTAAAATAAATATTTTTTTATAAAAAAAATACTTAATTCGTTGGTAAGCTTCATTTTTTTTTTAATGGAAGCTCCCCTAAAAATTGATTAAATAGTCTATATTACTATATGCATCGTAAATAATAACTAATAATCGTGCTATAATCATAAAAAAGCTTATTGCTATGACGCAAGTAACTATAGTACATTAGTACGTGTTTTCTATTCACAAACTATCATAATAATTATTTAATTATCTAAGAATGTAATTTTAGTTCGTGTCATTTTTAAATTGATTTTTTTCGTATGTACATAAATAACATTATAGTAGGTATTCGCTTAAAGCCTGTAGGTTAATCTAGGTTAATCTATTATAATTTACATTATATTATATTACATTTTTTTAAACCTTATGCATCTACATATTATATAGTCCATATACCACACCTATTTACCAATTATGAACTAATATCAATGAAAGTTCCTATTTGTGAGAGAATGAGACAATAATATGTAGGTAGGACAAGTAGGTAACAGCATCGAGCTGTCTCCGTCTTACACGTGTGTAACGTGGCAAATTTACGATCAGAAGATCGTGTTTAACTTCGTTAGTTTAAAAATTAGAGTGAATCGACCTATTATGAAATTTGATGGTGAAACCAAATATTATCTGTGATTGTATGTGACTTTTTTACGATAGTTAATTGTTTAGCAAGTTTTACGTGTATAATAGCCTAAATTAAAAATACTCAAGACTCGCTTAAAAACTGAAGTATCATGATCCTGTTTCATAATAGGTTGATTCACTCTAATTTTTGAACTAACGGAGCTGTAAATGATCTGCGGAGCTTATAAATTTGCGATGTTACGCACTTCCGCACTTGTAAGGGAGTTATTGAGGGTTGGCTAAAGCCCGATTTTCAAAATTATAATTATAGAAGCTAAAATATGCATTTGAAAATATGTAACAATATTTGTTTTTTTTTTTATCACTATTTAAAGTAAAGTAAAACGAAAATTCAAGATTTGATTTGACCAGGCTAAAATTCTCTTCATTGAAATAAAAAAAAAAATGAACAAAATCTGACTATTCTGCAAGGCATGAGAGTTTTTTTACAAATATCGCCCCCACCCCCCACTCCCCCTAAATAGGCATCGGACAGTAGAGTAATGGAAAAGTATTATAATTAAGGTAGTAACTAAAATATAAAATATGATTTTTTAATTGTATAGAATTGTGGAACATTGGAAAACCCGACTAACTTAATAGTTAATATTTCTATTGCCTTTTACTCATATATACGAAGAGGAGTATTCGGGACTTAAAGTGGGAAATAATTCCAGGTTGTACTGTCTCCATGACTCCATCTACATATTATAGTTTTAAGCATTCCATATTTCCATTTATAATTATACCAGTGGCGTAGCCAGGATTTTTTTTCGGGAGCGGGGGGGGGGGGGAGGGGCTGATCAATTTTTTACACAGCGTTGGTTTAGTTTTTGATCGAATACCATAGACCATTAAATCATTTTTAAATTGTATTAACATTTCAGGGGAGAGGGGGCTACAGCCCCCTCAGCCTCCCCCCGACTACGCCACTGAATTATACCTATGTATAATATATATATGTTATATATGTAATGTACAAACAGTGATTGATGTAAACTCATCCCACTTTCAACCCCGAATAATGTTCAAATTTGTAATTTATTTCATGTAGAATTTAAATCACAAATAATCCTACATTTTTAAAAGGGATGCTTGTTTAAAGAAACGACCGTTGGAGGTAGGGGGCTGAACAGGGCCAGATTGGACGAATTCCGCCCACCGAGTTTTCCGCACATTACTGACCCTCGACCAAATTTTTTTTTTTAATCGCATTTTGCTGTATAAGGTATACCAATCTTCTCCTTAAAGTTTAAACGATATCCCTAAAAAACACAACTAAGAGTACAATACTACGGTATTATATTATATGAGTTAACAACATTTTTTAAAGGTTGTTAAAATTTAACAGCCCAAGTCTTACAAGGTAACTCGGCGGGCCAATCCGGCCCTGGACTAAGACACTGAGTCCCGCCACGTCCCCTTCGCGCTTGTGTGCAAGGCCATAGGCAGAAAAATATTTAGGGGGGGGGGGGGTAGAGTATAAATATGTTATATTATATAATAAAATATGAAAATAAAAAAATATTTTTTAAATGAAATTAAGCTTTATTTAAATAATAATTAAATCTTATTTCAAAAAAAAATTCAGGGGGGGGATTGAAATTTGTTGGATTTCGTCATTGATGGTATTGAAGTATAAAAGCACTTATACAGCAGATCATTTAATACATTACACATACATGTACCTATTTAAAGTTGTAAGACTTCTATTAAATTACTATGTTATTACTTATTTGCTAGCTTTAGAAAAATATATAATTATTAATTGTCTTTGAAAAAAGAGTATAGCCGACTTTTAACCATGTTAAGTCTGGTACTTTTATGTTCTAGTTAATTTGTTAGTTAAGTTAAAAAAGGAAAGTAACTTTAAACTTAACTTACATTTTTCAATATTATCAATTTAACGAGTTAAAAAAAAAATAGTTAACTTGCCTACTTACCCAGCTGCCGTACCAAGTGCCAACTTTTTTTTATCAATGTATGGTTTGTCTTGTCTACATAGACATTAGTACAACATGTTCAAATTATCGTCTTTTTTATCCATGACATTTTTATAGGTTATGTACTTAGGAGGGTATTTTAATGAACCGCCTTTTTATTGTTCAGCGGTCATTAGAGATTAGGTATAAATGAGTAGTGGGTTAAATCGTATTTACTAATTATTTAAATGGTGGAACGCTGAGTATTGAGCAGTGAATTTTGGAATCAGATCAGCTTGTTGCGTTGCCGCGTTGGCATTACATACTTGTCTCGCTAGGATTCTTCATACGGTTTTATTACCTCGAAACAGAACTACATATATCGATTCCGCTGCGTCCGGAAAACAATCTGTTGATTTGACGGCTTTTCTATCCTTTTCAGGGATGGAGAATTCAGATGAATCGATCTTAAAAAAAAACGATGTGTAAGTATCTAATGGGTATTTGTGTACAAGTATTGCCATTTAATAATTGCATTAATTGTCACAGGACTGATAGTACAAGTTCATCAAGTTACTTTGAAGACTGTAAAGATCTAGGTGTTTATAGTTTGGAAAATACTCGAGTCTCCAAACGCAGTCGTTATTTGTATCCTGATACCAAGGTAGTTGGTATTAAAAATATTTTTTATTTTATTCGATTTATAAGAATTTTAATGTTGTCTGACTGCTTAATATCATAATATTGGCATAAATAAAAATATAATAAAGATGGGCTTGGTTTGGGACAGTTTAAGGTATCATAATCAAGATATATATTTTATATAAGTATCCAAAAATTAACTTTGTGTGTCTTCAAGTACTGTAGCTTGATTTTAATCCGAGAAAGAAAAATATATACTTATTATTTTGTATGAAGTTGATGTTCATATTAATTAATCATCCAATGGAGGTGGTGGTGGAAATAATATCTATCTAAGAAGTAATTTTAATATTTTTAATAATGACCCAAACCCACTTGTTGAAATCCAATGGTTAACATATGGTTATAATTTATAAAAAAATCAATCTGTTTTTTCCCATGACCATTAAGGTAAAAATTAAAATTGGAAGGAAAGCAGATCAACTATTATGATTATGTTCTATGAATTATTGGTTCATATAGTATTACCTACTACGCTGATATTTTCATTGAATAATTTATGTTTAATTTACTTAAATTATCCATCAGCATTTATTCTTTAAAATTTTTTTTTACCCCATATTTGTTTTAAAATAGTAAATACTAGCATTTTACCCTTTCAAGTTTATATTTGAAAGCTAAGTAATAGGTTAGGTTTGGGACACATGATGTGTACAACTTGATGTTCTCATTTTAAGAGGACGTGATACCTACATATGTTGTCTCTGTCTTACAAGTGTGTAACAGCAAATTTTACGCTCAACAGAACACGTGTAGCTCCGTTAGTTTAAAAATTAGTGCAAATTGACCTCTTATAAAATCTAAAGGTAAGATTATTATCTAGGCAACCTCATAGGTTTTTTATTATATTTTAATTTTAACGCGAGTTATGAGTATTTTAAAATAGTAAATTTTTTATGCATCTTAAAATACTTCTTACCTTTAGATTTTATAAGAGGTCAATTTACTTTAATTTTTAAATTAACGGAGCTACACGTGTTCTGCTGAGTGTACAATTTGCTATGTTACGCACTTGTAAGACGGAGACAACACATGCGGGTATCACGTCCTCTTAATGTTGATATTTTAGTTATTCTATTGATCTTGAAACTGAATGTTATTACTTAATGATTAAAAAACTTATAAATAATTATACATATATTATAATACAACTATTATATAATATGTTCATTAATTTTGTATTTTTCCCATTTAGATATGGCCTATGGGTTATGGCTTGAATACTTATGTGTACAAACGTAAGCAAAAAAAATGTCAAATGAATAATGGTAAGTTAAAGTTTAACCCTAAAATTTTGTTTTATATGTTCATCATTAAATGATGTATTATTTGTTTACAGATGATTTTGATACATTACCAGAAGAAATAGTATTAAAGATATTTAAAATGGTGGACAAGCGCACATTACTAAAATGTGCTCTTGTATGCCATCAATGGCGACGTATTGCATATGATGAATCTTTATGGCAGTATTTAAACATTCCTTCTCGTCGTATGAGCATTTCGACTTTAGATAATCTTCTTGCCCGTAATATTAAATACTTTTCTGCTTCTCATTCAAATGTAAGTAAATTACCCATTTTGTTTTTATACTATAATTACTTATGTAATTTCAACTGTATTTCAGTTCTATATTTTTGCAAACCAGTGTTTATGTAAAACACCATTTCCCAAATTACAGTACTTGGATTTGAGCTCTGTATTTATGCATTATAATAGTAAGTATATAATATATATAAATATTTATTATATTAATGGAAAATTGCTGAAATTCAATATTTACATATATTTTATTTTTTAGCTCTACGTTCATTATTAAGGCAATGTACTAATCTGATAAAACTGAGTTTGGAAAACTGTTCAGTAGATTCTATATGTTGCCAGTACATTGGACTCAATACCAATTTAAAAGTACTTAACTTAGCTTCAACAGTTGGTCTTGACCGCAATGGCTTGGAACACATAGTGACTCTCCAAAAGTAAATATATTATGTGTTTGATGTTCTCGGGTAAAATAATTAGTGATACAAAATATCAATTAAAATGTTTAAATTTTAAATTTAATGTCTGTTCTCATATTTATACTGTTCAGTTGTTTAAAGACTTGTAAGCTTATAACTGTAGAAGACCTCCTGAAAACAGCTATAGTATAGCCACAGAAATACATTTATTGACTACTATTGTTGTAGGTTTTTGTCACAAGTAATGCTTAACCTTCGTAGTTTTATAAGAATTTATATTGGTTGACAGCTGGGGCGGACTGGCCCTGAGTGCTATAATCCTAGCAGTATTCCAAACCCTCATTTGTATTTATGATCTGGGCCCTGATTACCAGAATCTGGCCCTTATTTAAATTTAACTCTTTTGGTGATGTCGAACTTGATAAGTTTAAAAAAAAGTTGGCAGTCCGCCCCTAGTTGGCTATTCTGATCAGAGTCTCACTTGCATCCCCTGTAGGAATATCCAATCCATTCCTTTATTATCTATGATGTTTGAAGTGGATGAAGTTATATTTTATAAAAAAAATAAAATGTTCTATATATCTGATTACAATTACTATTGCTAAAAACCAAAACATTTATTTTTATACAATACCAGGCTAAACCACCTTAAATACCAACCATAGTGATTGTGGTAACTATGATAGCCAATTTCCTTGAACCAGTGTGTAATATATTTAGGCTTAAAAACATTTGTTTTGTTTAGTTGATATAGAAAGTTCTTGTATGTGTGTGGTTGGATTCAATTTTTTAATTTAGACCACTTAAGTAAATTTTGGATTATGACTGTCTTGAGAATACTAAAAACAAATTAGAACTTTCCCAAACATTTTTTTCTAGTTATTGCCTTGTTCCAGTGTAATTTTTGATTATTTATATTTCAGATTGGAAGAATTGAATGTGTCTTGGGCTAAATTGGAAGATGACAACTTACATTATCTAATGGCCAATATGATACCAAATATAAAATGCCTTAATATTAGTGGATTTTTGAAACAATTAGCAGACTTTGGTATGTTACTACTTATTAGTAGAACATTTTAATGGTTCCAACTAATCAATTGGTTTTTTTGAAAATATTCCAGATTTGACAAGGTTGAGTAGCCGTTGCATGAAACTAATTGAATTGGATATTAGTGATAGCCTTGCTATAACTGCAAGTAGTTTGGACAAAATCTTAGAGAATAATCATGAATTAAAAGTGTTGTCCATGAATCGCTGTTACAATATCGATACTCCTAGACTTTTAAAGTGAGAAATTTGAATGGTTTGAACTATTGATAAATATGTTATATTTTACTATAATTTAAATTATGTTTCAGTCTAACGGAAATTTCCAGAAGGAGGAGAAATTCTATTATGAGTTTGAGTGAAGTAAATTTTATCGGCATAACACCCAGACGAATATTGGAGGATATAGCTAATAACCCAGATGTGATTTTAAAAATAAATAAAAGTGTGTTTTCTGGTATTGGTCGTCCAAAACTGGCTCAAAATAAACACACCATTTGGGAAATTCCTGCTTTCATAGACTGTTAATACTATACTCTAGGTATGACTAATGTTCCATTGCCAATATACTGTGATTTAAGTTATAGACTATTAGAATAGAGGTGTATGAATTTTTAAATTCTGTTTTTTTTTAATTTCAATAATTTTGAAAAATTATCTATTATTTATTTATTTTTAACTGTAGTAAACTATTACTATTATTGAATAATTTTGGTAGAAATGTATGTCTTCTAATTTTTAATTTGAATATTTAGAACACAGAAAATATACATCTTGACTGATTAAGTTTTTATTCTTTAAATATTTTAGTTGATAAATAAAAAATGTTATCATAAAAGCATTTAATTTATGAGAATGTTATCAAAAATTTAACAAATTGAATATACTTTGTTAAAATGATTATTTTATTCTAAATATACTATATAATTTATGATTTTAGTAAATTATATTTATTGATGCAAATCGAAAAATTTATTTGGGTTTTTTTTGTTTCTTTTATTCTTGTTAAAATATATTTATGATTCAATTATTATAAATAGAAAATAAGAAATCAGTTGTTCACTGACAATATTTAAATCTTAATGTGTTTTTATGTTATTCATTTAGTTCATACAGACATAAAGTCCAATTACAATATAATTTATTTACAAAATGATATGATTATGACTCAAACTAAAAGTAAATTCAAAAATAATGATGAACATAATACATATTATCAATGATTGCTAAAGACATTAAAAATAATTTAACACGGATTCTTAATTTATGTAAAGTTTCCTTACTACAAACAATATTTATTATAATAGACGATAATTTAGGGCTATTTGAATTTTTTTAATAGCAATGTGTACAGAACAAGTAATAGTTGATTTATAAATTGAATGGTGTTCTCTGTGTACTTAACAATTAGTGGTAATGAATCATACGTTCTATTTCTTTTATCATACTTAATTGATGAGGAAACTGAAAATATATTTCATACAAACAACAGTTAGTAATGTGCGCAACACTTGGATTTTAGAGTAAATTAGAAGGTGTAAATACGTCTATAAAGCATCCTAGATTTTTTGATTATCATCCAAATATTAGTATGTAAGTTAAAGGTTATTAGGTTTTTTGAAGTGCTGATAATAGCTCTTAGGCTGGTTGAAATTCTTGAAAATTTGATAGAGGATCTCGCCTAAGTTCTTATACAAGTTTAAAAGTATGCATTGTTCTTTTAATAAGTTTTTGAAGTTAAAAATGTATAACATTTTCAATTTTTCTTGCTAAGGATTCACTATTTAATAGAATGTTCCTTATACATTTTTTTCTTTCAGCTACCTAAAATCTAAAAAAGATAAATCACAATTTATATTATTTTAGTTTGTTGTTTTTTATAATGTATTGTTTGTAGGGACATAAAACTATTTCTACTTATATTATTATTTGCTAACCAAATTAAAATTTTTAAAATATTAAGTTTAATTTTAAGCTATTCATGTTTCACACTGTCACACCGTTTTATCGTACACTGGTATTGAATTATAAGCTAATACAGCCAGCGATATAGTAATTGTTACACAATCATAGGTGTGCGCCATAGACACATAAGACAACTAGATAGCCGGCTACACGATAATATTGAAGTCGTTCAACCATATGCCAATAGGCCAAAATTGCATAGTTGATAATATATATATCATATAAATATGTATACGTGTATAATCTGTTGAATTAGGTATTTTGAAAACATTGCCCTGTTGACATATGGCTACGGCTACACGACTTCAATGTTCCTGTGGAAATATATAGGCAGTCCACTTTCTAGTTGTTTTATATGTCAATGGTGTGAGCACAGGTGGTGAAGGGTATGTTGGTGCACCACCTGCGGCTTTATGGCCTTGTGTTTGTTTTAGGAACAAATTGTTTATCCAAGTAGCAAATATGTTACTATTAGTACTTCTTTAGGAATTAATTATAATTTAAAAAATAAAAATGACATTTAAAATTTGTTTCTTCATAAATTACATCTGAATTTATAGCACAGAAAGAATAGATTAATCTATTCTGTGTTTATAGTAACCACAGTTGTATTTCAGTTTTAATAACTGTGGTAGTTTCCATTTAACTGAAGAAGTCATTGAAGAGTTTAAAACCTAGTAATTAGTAACTTCTGCTATACTTCGTCTGGAACTTAAGTTCCTAGTCAATTTTCATAATTTATTAAGGTCGTAAGTGAAAATATATGTTTCTCGTGGATATAAATTTATAATATAAGTAAATAAATAGTTAACAAAATATATTATTTTATTTTTATGGTGAATGGTGATGGTTATTTCTTTTAAATATTATAAGGTTTTCATTATTATACAACTTTATTTTCAGTTCATAATAAATAATAACCAACATAATTTTTTGTTGCATAAAAATAAGAAATTTACAAAATAAAATATTACTATTGAAAAAAAGTATTTTAATTGAAACCACTCCAAACATTTTAAATATTTTGTATTGGAAAGAATCTTGGATGATGTCAAAAATAGTAAGAGGAATGCACCACCTGCAAGCAATGTATGCCTGTGTAAACAATATAATATTATTATACCATTAGTTTTTGGAAAAAATTAGTTCAACCTGTCTGCTACTGTACTAATAGTAAGTGGCGTGGTGAGAGGTTTTCCAGAGGCCTTGGTCTCTATTGGATATTAGATGGGTAGATACTAGGTGTCAGTGTCTTTGCCATTAAAAATTGGGTTGAAGATTTTTGAAAAATCGAGTAAAAGAAAAATTAGGAAATACATAAATACAGTTTTTATAGTAATTCTGTGGAAAATTATGTAAAAATACTGTACAAACTACAGACTACAAAAAAACTAAAAATGTAGTCAAGTTGTCTATAATGTTAAATAACAGCTGCTTTTTAATATTCATTTATCTATATCAGTGTTTCTCAACCTTTTTACCAGCACGGACCACTTCGACAATATTTTATTGGCCGCGTACCGCCTCAATTTTACAAAAACTAGGAAGACCTTTTTCTTTTTGCCCATTAAGAAGAATACACAAAATTTTATTTTATACATATATTATTTTACTTTACATTTTATTACCTACTATACTTTTATACTTTACTATACTAAATAATTTACTTAGTGTGATTTTTGTGACTGCATTTCTTTGACCAGTTTTTCAATTCTTGGATGAATGTTGTAAATTATTGTAGCGATAATAGTATAATTTATGATACCTCTGATACCTACACACTTATAAAAGTGGATAATATTAATCAGTCGTCATGATCCAATGACACTAATAGGTAGCAACAACGATAAGATAACCGTATACCGCGTATAATAATATACGGTTCCTCAATAATTTATTATGTTTACCGCTATTTAAAAAAAAAAAATTGTAATAGAAATCGAAGAAAAAAAATCTATGGCACCGCGGACCACCTATGACTGCGCCACAGAGCACCGGTTGGGAAACACTAATCTATATAGTAAAAATTCTGGATCCACACCCGAACTCTTTCAGTAGCCTATTTATCAAATTGTTTGGAATTAAAATACCAGAAAAGGGATTTACTAGTTAAATAATTATTTTAGGGGGGACGAGGTGACCGAGTGGTCTGACTCTTCCGCTGCGACGCAGCCGGTCGCGGTTCGATCCTCGGCCACCAGGCGGCATTTTTCTCCGGACAAGTCGCGGTGACCGGAGAGCAAGTGCTGCCATCCCCCACCCCCGGGGCATGGCAGAAACCTACGGGTGCCCCATTCGAAATTCTGCCAAAACAAACACACACGTGTTCCCCCTACCGTTCCAAAAACCTACAAACCATCAATACAAAAAAAAAACCTACAGTACCTACTAATAGTTAATGGCCACAGTTGCCGGGCTCAGGATCAATTAAAAAAAAAAAAAATTATTTTAGTGATACTTACAGAATATATCATACAATATCAAACACAAAAAATGTAATTGCCAATATATATAATTTGTGGTTAAACAACAACAAAATAACTGACAGGACTTCTTAAATTATTATTATTATATTATATAACAATTAAACATTTTTAAAATCCATAGATTACATGTATTCAAATTTTATGCAGCTTTATAGTTATTTGTTGACCAACCAACATTCAATATTAAATGATCATATCCATAACCATGTAAGCCCTTAATTGCTCGTTCGGCATCCATTCTAGATTTGAAATTTACAAATGCATAGCCTTTACACGCGCCTGTAACCTTGTTAGAAGCCAAGAAAATTCTAGCAATCTGCCCAAATTTATTGACCAGTTCACTCAAATCTGCTTCTGACGTGCTCTCTGAAAGATTTTCAATGCGAATAGCTGGTACCTCATCATAACCACGAGAGTATGGGTCTCGTTTTCCAGCGGTATTTGTAGCTCCTTCTCGCGCTGAAGGTGGGATGTAAGGCCTAAACAACAATACAATGTCAAGACAATAGATGATAAAATTACAATGAACATTTCTAAATCATCTAACCTGTTAGTTCCTGTGTTCTTTTCTGGTTCTGACACTTTCTCTTGCACTAACTTTTTGTCCTCAACAATCAATCCGGTGCCTTTGAGATGACATGAGAAAGACCAATGTTCTCCGCCACAGGTACGACACTTGATGTTCATGTTTACATTCTTGAGCTTGTCTAACGGGTTCTCCTCTGCTTTGTCTCCATCTTTGCCAGACAAGAACTGCATCTGTATTTCCTCGGCAGGTATGGTTGTCGCAATATTTGGACCCGGCTTGTCGTTGCGCGAGTCACCGAACTTGGGCCACGTCTTCCGTTCAGCTATCGTTTTGGACACTAGCCGTTTTTCGATCTTGTAGGTGCGCACCACCTTTTCCTTCTTGTCATCCTTGTTCCACCGGTATTCTGTTATAATCCGGTTGTTACCTACCTGTTCGGTCTTTGGTTGCGGCAACGTTGTTTTCTCCAAGTGGTCCTCGACCTCGTCGGCCCAACTTACTTTGATCAGGTCCTTCATCTAAAACAAAACGCGATAATCAGGATACGGTGGTGAACAGTCAATGCGATACTTACTTTTCTTGGACCTTCGAAAGGGAATCGGAGAATTGATGCCTATCGCAGACTCTGTGGCTGAGTGGTGCGAAGTCTTCCCGGTGACGAAAGTCCAAAGGGAAGTCGAAACCTAGACCGGCTCGGCAAAAGACGAAAGTCAAAAGAAACAGAAATAAATAATGTAAACATCGCGTCGACCTGTTATCAACAGAACGCGCCTCGTGAGTCGACGTGAGTCGTGGATGGGACGCGCCTTGGTTACTAACACTGCAACCAAGACCACTTACCGATAACCGTCGGTTGGCTACGCTGTGATCTGCAGAATTTAATATTTATCGCGATTTTCGACAGTCCGACGGCTTACAAATGTTCTTGAATGGTAAAACAGTATAGGTGGTAGGGGGAAACAGTTTCCCAAATCCCAATCCCATGAATATTAATTTTGTAAACAAACCGCGTCCCAGCCTCTAGAGTATCGTGTCAGCTAGTCTGTACTCTGTAGCATCGAAAAGATATACTGGACTATTGGTCTGAACTCTGAGATTCCGGCTATTGCGAATTTCGCGAAGAGGGTGATCGAGCTGTAGACTAAAATTTCTCTCTGTCGACTACGACGAAGGAAGTACTCGCACAGAACCACGCAATCGACGATGCGAAATCGCAGTGTCCTTTTCGGTTGATCCTTGTAAACGCGCCACCACTCGCTTGTTGATTTTCGGCCAGCTCGCCAATAATGGACGTACCTCAACCGCCGGAAGGTAAAATCGCCGTCAGACAGCGATGAACAAAATCGAGGCGGCACAGTTTCTTTTTTTGAAGTTTTTTTATTTTTGTAATTCTTTTCGTAGATCACGAATTGCGCACGATCATCGACAAGTTGGCCGTGTTTGTTGCTCGCAACGGACCTGACTTCGAACAGATGACCAAGACCAAACAGAAGGACAACCCAAAGTTTGAATTTCTATTTGGTGGCCGTCACTTTGATTACTACCTGCGTAAAGTCTCAACTGAACAATCGAGTGAGTGGTGTTCGAAGACTCTCCCATAAGCTGTTACTAGTTGTAGGCACTATTGACACAAGCAGTTTGTGCAATCTATTTTTTTTCTTTTTAAATTTATAAGTCGATACCCAAATACAAACAGAGCCACTGTTTTTAAATGACAAATGTTTACATTTCGTTAGCTATTATGTTATAGCTAGTAATTCATTATGAAGGTGTCATCTTTGTGGATTTTATTATTGTAATTAATGACATAGTGTTTTGGTAAAATTATTCATGAATTTAAAATGGTCGTTGTACTAAAAACTGTTAAACTAAGTAAATTTTTTTTCTAAAATTATTTAGTACTAAATCAAAACAGTGTCAGAGAAATAGCTCAAGCTGCAGTTGCAAATAATTCCGTTAGTACACAGCAATTGAACATGGCAGCCGCAGCAGCACAATGGTTAAATTTAAACCAAACAAATGATTGTCAGTCATCAGTAGTTACCATGGAATCCCTAAATGCTCAACAAGCAAATCTGCAGCAACAAATTGCTCAGGCAGAAAAAAATTTTAACTCTCAACTAATGGTAAGAAATATAAGAATTAAAATTCAATTTATAAAATACAAAGTTCGTGAGTAATTCTTCAGTATAAATCAATGTTAATAGATGTTGGCCCAGCAGCAACAAGTGGCTACTGAAGATAAAATACTGTCGGAACAGCGAGAATTTATTAATTCTGAAGCCGCAGCTAATGAATTATCACTGGTTGAGTTGTCGTCTGTACTCGAACCAATTATTAAAGGATGCACTAAAGATGCAATAGCTAATGGTAAATCATGGATTATGAAACAAACTGCCAGTGAACGAAAAGTTGATGTAATCACCCAATATTTACTTATGGAGTAAGTGACATACCAATAAACCGCTATTAACCTTTTATCAATAATATATTTATATTCCCTAAATACTGTTCTTTGGTACAGAGTGATGGACCCGAATGCGGAATTTTCAAAGCAGTTGCATTTAATATATTTAGTAAATGACACAGTTCATCATTGGTAAGATGATTAATTGCTATTATGATAAATAATAAATTCTTTTACATTTCTTTTAACTGTTCTCTTTAGCATTCGTAAGTCAGAGAAGATACTGAAAACATCGCTTGAATCGATCATTGTACCAATGTTTTGTTCAGCAATGATGAGAGCAAATGAAGAACAAAAATCTAAACTGAGCAAGGTACTAACATTGTTAATTAATACCTATAATCACCTACATAATTTTACATAATTTAATTTTGTTTTGAAATCAATAGCTCTTATCTTTGTGGGAAACAAAAAATCATTATTTCCCCGAAACTATAATGGAGCGATTAAAAAATCCTGATAGATCAATGGCAGAATATAAGAGCAACCTATTAGAAAAATATAGGGATGCTGTCAATCAACTCAACATGATCATGAACAGTACATTACAAAATTACCGTAGCCAACATCAATCATTTCTAGCTCATTGTAACAATCAGATTCAGGTAATACAATAATTATTAAAAGATAATATCTTATGAAAACTTACACCAGATTCACTTTGAATATTAAGTGCTTACAAAGTCACTGATGTAGGTATAATAAAGTAACAAACCAATTCTTAGTTTACATTAAGCCATTGAAACATTTAAAAAATGCGTTTTAGCTTTTGTTAAAAGTATTTGCAAAACTATTCGTTGGACGTATAAAAATTTAAATTGTTTGTCCCTAAAATTTAATTTTAATGCCTATACAAGAATAGTTTTTGTATGTATATATTTATATTTACATGTATATTTATATTAATTATTTGTGTAATATTATATTCAACCTTTCTTTCATAAGTCATTTTTTATTGGGAATTCGATTATTTTAGAGTATAGAAAACCAAAAACGTTCGCTAGAACAACAAAAACAAAGGGTAACTCCTCTTTCAATTCCTCCAGCTCAAGGTAAGCGCACATCTGATTTAAAAAATGGACATTTTACACATTTTATGCAAAATAAAAGTTCAAATATTATTTATCATAAAAGTTTATGTTCAAACACAAGGTTTCAAAACTATATATATTTTAAATCTCAATACTTCAGCTTTCATTTATCCTTTACAAGTTAATTAAGATCATATTTTTATTAGATATACGTTACTGTAGATGATAGTTTTCAATTTTAAGTGTAGAGTGGTTAAAAAAATGATATCAACATTTTCTCAATAACTCTTTCATTTGTTTTAGTACTTCTAAATGTAACAATAAAGAATAAATACATTTTTTCATTATATTTTATAAAATATGACCAACATAAAATACCTCTTACCTATTTTTTTTTTGTAACTCAACTTTAATTAAGCACACTATTTTTGGAATTATTTAAATTAAAATAATAAAGAAAAGCAAAATTGTCCATTGATTAGTGTTCTTAGTATGATATTGTAAATAATTTCACGTTTTTGTTTTTTCTCTCAATACTATCTTTTGTTACAAGATTTACTTATATTGGACATGTTTGTGTATTGATTACATTATTATTTAATGATAAACAAAATATATACATAATATATATTATTTTAACTATATATAATGTTTGTATGTATATGATTTATTAATTTTTTGCAGCTAAGTTAATTTCTCATCAATTATTTTTATATATTTTTGAGACACATTTGTTTTTGTATTTTTGGTGTTAAACTTGGTATTTTTTTCATAATTTTATTTCGTTCAATATTTTTTATGATAGCTAAGTTTGTTCATTATTTTTTATATTTAAGATATGATAATTTGACTTAATATTGATTTTTTTAAAGAATAATGTGTGAATAATATAAAAATAGTAATTTTCTCATATTTATTAATAATATCAACATTTTTATATTGAATTGATTTTTCTGCTCAGGCTAAAAATAAAAAACTTGAATTGATTATTTATTAAATTAGCATTTATTGATCATACATTTTTAATTCATTCTGATAAAAATATTTTTTATTTATATTTATCAGGCTATAATTATTGATATGTTTTTGTCGTTTAATAAAGTTTAATAACTTAGAAACTTAGATACTAGAAATCATCATTTAGATTCTACTCAGAAAATGTTATTTATTTATTGTGATACATTACTTCATAATTCTAATGAACTATTTTAATGTCATGCTAATGTGTGATTGAACCTGTAATATGCTTTCTTTCTTACCTTATACACAATGTTCTGTAGGCTTTATTCTTATTATTTTTTGTTTAATATTCTGTTAAATAATTCCTTATGAAAGTAGTAAATGTATTTATATATAAGAATATATATATTATTATGTAATCATTATTGAAATGGAAACCTTGTGTACATATTCTCTTAATTTTGTAATATTTCCCCTTTAGAACCATTTCTCTTTTGTTTTTTTGTTTAGACGACACAAATCGACAGCATTTTAATGAAGGTCGTTTACCTTCTCCTCCTTCATACCAGAGTAACATGTCTGGGTATATGCAAGCCGACCCACAAAATTATCCACACCAGACAGATAATGGATACCAGCAAGACGATCACTATGGACAGCCAATGCAAAATTGTTTGCAGCAACCTCCGTCTATGTATAATAGACCTCCACCACCATTTAACCAACCTCCGCCCAATATACACTTACAACCTCCACGTAAGTATATTAGGTAGATAATTGTTATCACTGTTTACTGACATAAAAATATTATTAACTCAAGCTTCAATGGAATTACCTGATCTGAGCCGGCCACCTCCTAATTTTATGCAAAACAACTTTCCACTGCCACCACTTCAGCCAGATATTACGCCGGATGATTTGCTTCCTTCACTGCCATACTATGAACTTCCAGCTGGCCTTATGGTGCCATTAGTTAAAGTTTGTTAAAAAATAATAAATATAGTATATTATATTGTACATGTTATATTTTTGTGTGTATTAAACTTAATTGTACTTATACAATGATGGTATTTCATTCAGTTGGAAGATAGCAATTATAAACCTTTAGATCCAGACACAATCAGATTACCACCACCTGCTCCACCTACAGATCGCCTGTTAGATGCAGTCAAAGCTTTTTACATGCCTCCAGGGCATTTTGCTCCACGTGATAGGTAAATATTTGTATACAAGAGTTTATTATAATTATTTGACTAATGATTTTTGTATTAGTGATGGTTGGGAAAAACTTG